ATGTTGGACTTTGTAGTAGGGGTGGGCAAACGGGTCTTGGAACTGCGGTCCGGTCCGGGTAATGGCGGTTCGAGTCCAAAACGGGTCGGTTCCATTTTTTGTTGCCATAAAACGGTCTGGATAGGGTCGGATAATTTTTTTAAAGAACCGGACCGGTTCCAAAATTAAAAAATAACGGGTACATGGCCCTGCCCGTTATATATATATATTGTATATTAATTTATTAACTAGTGTAACACCCGGGGCATGCCCCGGTAGTGTTAATTTGATATGGGTGAGGTGACAAATAGATATAATAATTGTGAATTATTCATTGGCTATGATCAATTTCTTTTACTTCCTTCGTCGCTTTATATTTAACCAAACATTATTTTTTAAGTAAATGATGTTGAACTTTGATCGATTATATATTCATATACGGTAGTAATGATAATATGGAAATGATATGAAAATGCTCTTTGTTAAAACTTCCTGCTCATAAAAGTATAAATTTATTAACTTAAATTTCAAATAAATATATTAATCAAAATAATATAGATCAATGTTTTATCATCTTTGACTGGAAAAGTCAAATATGACCAAATAAAGAGGGACGAAGATAGTATGAACTAACCACCACATGGAATACGGGTGATGAATCACCATCTTTTGGAGTATGAATTTGGGATTATATTGTGATTTGTGTGTTTAGTATTGTAATAGTTATTAATCATTTATATGACTAATTCTGTTATGAGGGTGATTATAAGAAGCGTTGAATTGGAATTGGGAATATGTGTAGCTTACAATTTTACATTATTTTGGATATTCATGTGTATTACTTGTGTTGTGCGATTAGAGTCCCGTTCACGTGAACTAAAGTTCCATTATTTAAAAATTTGGTCTTGAATTAGAGCCTCACTCAAATGAGGAAGATTATTTTTTATGATTAGAGTCCTATTACATGTATTAAAGATTTAGAGTCTCATTATTTAAACAATTTATTTTGTACAATTATTTTGCAAACTGAATTGATATGGTACGTATTTATTCAGAGAATTATACTCCATTAATATGGTTGATATTAAAAAGTTGTTATATTCGCCGGTATGAATATTTATGATCTGAAATTTTTAAGATCCACTCTGATTTTTTTCTGAATAACAATATTCGTAATTAATTTCAATGGAAGCAACGTACAATAATAACCTACAAAAACATTTAGATTAGATTGGAATCATCATAATAGTAAAAATAATAACTTATGTTTGAACCAATTTGGCTTGAATTTTTTCTGATTTGATCTGATTTTTTTTTTTGGTTTGAATGTTTATGATCTCTGATCTGAAAATGATGGGTGAACTCTGTTTTATTTTCGTTTTATTATGTTTGTACTTTTCTTTCGAATTGCATGTTGTTTTGGACATGTTCTTATTTCCTAGCACATAGATTCTAGATTTTAAATCAAGCGATGAGAAGTCTGGTTTGCTAGTCATTGGCTTAGTTAAGCCCATTATAGGATCAACGAATATTATTGCTTCTACAAAGGTGATATATTCTAAGTATGGTTCGAGGGCGGACGGCAGACAGAAGACTTTTTATCGCTTTGTTTACTTGTTATTTAATTGTATTATCAGCCATGTGATAAACGTTATTGTGATTTAATGGATTTGTTAGATTTGATTATATAAAAAAACTCAAATTTCACTATAAATTTGATATATCATTGATATATTACTCAAAATTTACAATAGTTTTTTATATATGCAATTTGATGTCATATGAAAGATCATAAAACTTTATGATTTTTTGTATACTTTTTGTAAAAAATTTGTCAAATGAAATATCATAAAAAGTTATAAATTTTGAAGTGTATTTTTTTGTAAAAATTGAAGTGCAAATAAATAAGTTATAATACATTAAAATAAGAATTTTTCCTCATTCACTTTCTCAGAATGATCAATGATGCATGTAGTGTATATAATGATGAACCGAGTCAACTTATATGAATTAGGATGTTTTTACTTGGTATATAATTTGTTGGTCTGGCTTGGTCTGAACTGGTCTGGTCTGGTAATGTCTGGTCTCTTTGTATTTTATAACTATCCAAATTTGGTCTGGTCAAGGACAGATCAAAGTCCAAGTAAAAATATCCTTAAATATTTTAGTAGTAGTCATAATAGAATTTTTATTAACCAATATAATTTTCAACCCAGTTTTGCTATATAAAATACTACGTAATAGATATTTTTTATATATTTTCATACATATAATATTGGTGTCATATGAAAGATCTTAAAAAGTTGTGAATTTTGATATATGTTTTGTAAAAATTGGATCATAAATATAAAATTTATATCACTTTAAAAAAGAGAGATTTTTTCTCCTACTATTCCTCTAAATCAGCAGTAATGCACTATTTTTATGTGTGGTGGACATTGAATTAAGTAATTGACTTAATTGTATGATAATAGAATTTACATTATCCAATAAGAAGTTGACACATCATTGTTTTCTAACTCAAGTTTACTATATAAAACTATAGATTGGATCTCATCAGGGCCGTCTAATGAATTTCGAGGCCTCGGTTCAAAATGTAAAATCGGGGTCCAGATTAATATAAAAAATTGAAAAAAAATCTCAATCCAAATACGTATGCTCAAATTAATGGAATACTCATTAATAGAGAACCAAAAGAGTAAAAGGACCAACGAGAAAAATAATGTATCTATATTTTCCTTCTTTACTAGCTAACTGTTTTTTACTCACTAGTATTAGTACACAATATTACTATATAATACTAATAAGTTTTAAAAATATGGGGCCCCTTAAATTCGGGGGCCCTGTTCTGGATAACCTATTGAACCCCCTAAAAAACATATGAATTTCAGAAAAATCAGCATCATCTTAACTTGATATAAGCAAAATTTGATGAGTGGTATTGATTATATTCTTAAATTTAAAAAAAAACATCTTATTCGCTCATTTGTTGTGTGAACTTTATGATACATTACATATATCAATACATTAACTGAAAAAGTATAAATAAACTACCATTTATCTCAACTACATATGAAACATTTAACTCAAGTATCATTGTATATAATTAAATTTCGACCCCCCTAACACATTTTTGTTCCGCCACTGATTAATAGCTTTATTTTTTTAGGCCTCCTTGGCATGTGAGTCACTGAGGTCTCAGGCAATTTCAAAGGTTTGATGTTGTTTTAGAACAGTTAGAACTCCGGCTTTCATCACTCTGAACTCAACATATCTCATTGTCCTACATTTTTAGAGCCTCTTTTACTAACACAAATATTTTCCAGTTTTCCAGGAAACTGGAAAACTGGAAAATAGAAAACAGGAAACGTGTTTACCAAAGAAATTCCTGGAAAACTGGAGAAGGGAAAAAAGAAAAACGCGTTTACCAAATCGTTTTCCAAAACGGAAAAAATGAAACATGTCTCTCTTTTCCTTAATGATTTAGAGAAGTGACTTTTACTAGTTTTCCAAATTTGGAAAACGCAGATGCTACAGTGCCTTTGCAATGAATTTGCATACTTACACCTAGTGGTGGGTCCGGTGCCGCTCCGATATCGATTCCATTCTGGTACCTCCATCCTCGCACCTTGCCCCTTACCCCTACCCACCCTACCCCCACCCCGCGTACCCATTTTTCCCTATAATGACCTTACCCCACCACCCCCCACCACATGCCCTGACCTCGGCCCCACCCCGATCCACCCTACCCTACCGCCACCCCCCTATCACCTCGACCCCACCTCGATCCACCCTACCCTACCGCCACCCCCTACCACCTCAACCCCACCCCGACCCACCCTACCCCACCCCTCGTATATTACCACTTACCCCTACCTTACCTCTTACCACATGCCTCCTACCTCGGCCCCACCCCACCGCCATCCTACCCCCACCCTACCCTACCTCGGCCCCACCTACCGCCATCATATCCCAACTCCCTACCCCTACCTTACCCCAAACCCTACCCACTACCCCCACCCTTACTGTCATCCTACCCCCACCCTACCCCTTCCCTACCCCGACCCCACCCTGGTCCCGACCCCACCCTACCTCCATCCTATCCCATCTCCCTACCCTACCCCTACCTTACCTACCCACTACCCAACCCTTAACCCTAACCCACCCACTACCCCCACCCAACCCCCTACCCCTACACCTTACCACCCCACCCTGACCATACCCCTTACCCCACCCTTACCCATAACTTCCCTACCCGACCCCTACGAGTAGGTATGGGTGGGTATGAAGGGTTGTGGTGGAGTATGGGTAGAGTGTAAGATCGTGGTAAGGGTAGAGGTAGGTGTCAAGGGTGTGGAATTGGAGAACTGTGTGAAAAAATTGATGAACATGTTTTCAGATTTGAAAATGGAAAACTAAAAAATAGAAACAGAAAATTGGAGATAGAAAAACTGAAAAATAAAAACAGAAAATTGGAGAACGAAAAACAGAAGTAGAAAACAGGAAAATATCTCTGTTATATTTTTTAAACGTTCTTTCAAAAGGTTGAATACCCAACCCCAAGGCCCCCACGCTCCGACCGAAAAGGCTTTTGGGAGGTTGTAAGTCATGGTGACTCAGTCAACGTAATGGTAATTCGCCTTATACCCGTGCATTTTTTTAATATGTCGGTCGTTCGGTGAGTGGGTTAATATGAATGTTTTCCAGAATAACATCTGACCAGTTTAGTTTCCGTAGCAACCGACCACTTCAGCCAGGTTAATTTCACTCGGGTCTTTTATTAAATTTCGGCAGTTTTGTCGGTTGATTTCATTTTTCAATTATTTTGTTCAGTCCTTGGAGAATATTATTTCGTGCTCTTATTAATGGTATTATCATTCAGTTCAAGCCCTTTTGATAATCCATGTATCTAAATTATCAGCATTATAAGTTTTTTTTAAATCAAATACAAATGTTTTGTTTGGCATAATTAAATATATAAACTACGCATTCCGTGCAACGCACGGGTTAAGAATCTAGTATATTAAATTATACTTGTATAAATGGTCCAAGAGCACATAAATGAAATACTTTCCGACATTCAACATATATAGTAATATAGTAAGAAACTATATACGGAGTCTGACAGGTTTACGAATTGGAAGGGAAAACATGAAATCAGAAAATATTAGAAATTTAACATCAAAACCCGCGGAGAATTAAAGTGAATTAGGAAATTAAACAGCATGCATGAGTAGCGAGTGAGAAACAAGAAGGATGAGATGGAAAGAACAGAAAAAGACCGTATGATGTAATAATTAAATTACGAAAAGTTAAGAAAGACAATCAAAATAAATTAGCGATCCAGATGATGACTTGGGTTTAAAGTGACATTCAAGGCTTATTCAATCGTCGTCATCCTCTGAATCGCTATCTCCTTCGGGAGCGTCGTCCACGTCTTCTTCTTCTGGCTCAGGGTCATCGGCATCTGGGTCAAGACCTCCTTCTGGAACACCGTCATCCTGATCATCGAAATCCTCGGGTTGAGCTCGACGAAACCCTGGGAGGTCTGGAAATCCTTCTTCCTGTACGTCATCGTCATGGTCATCTTGGTCAGTATTATCATCATCACCCCCCTCGCTCTCATCATCGTCGTCGCTCTCGCTCTCATCATCATCGTCCTCATCACTGTCGGCACATTCTCTGTTTGGGTACCTGCAGCCATGATCTTCTACATCATTATTAGTATTGTAATCTTCTTCAGTTTCCCATTGGCTGTTAACAACCACCATTTTCGTTATCGATACCTAGCCTTGAATTTGGAGCTAATCGATGCGAAATTGAGGTGCTCTAATCAAATGTTTAGTACACAACAATTAAGCTAGGAAGGAATTTAAAACGGATATATAATAAGGAATTGCGTCGTATTACATAGTTTTGAGTAGAGGCTGTGGATAGTGAATAGACCAATTTATACTGGTACGTTGGTGAGTGGTGATACGTACATTACTCATAAAAATACTCCGTAAAATATACGGATTCTCTACCTGCATTTATTGATTCGAATCATCATTTATACTTCGTATTTAAGATGTTTTCTTTTGGACTGAAATTTTCTGGTCTGGTCTGTTTAAGTCTGGTTTGGTCTGGTCTGATCTGGTAAACGTCTGGTCTCTGTGTATTTTATAACTATCCAAGTCTGGTCTGGTTTGGTCCGGTCTGTTTAAATCTGGTCTGGTCTGATCTGGGACTGAAAACAGTCCAAAAGAAAATATCCTAAGAAACAAAAAATGATCATGCATGATGTTATCTTCATTGTACTAAAGGTGTTTTCATTTTATCAAGTAATAGGGAGTTCCTCGAATAGTTTTGGAATAAGTTTGGGTCAAATTTAAAAAACAAAATCGACTTAGGTATGAAAATATAACAACAACAACAACAACGACGAGGAGGAGGAGGAGGAGGAGGAGGAGGAGGAGGAGGAGGAGGAGAAGAAGAATGAGAAGGAGGAGGGTGAGGAGGAGGAGGAGGAGGAGGAGAAGAAGAAACAACAGAAACAGAAACAACAGAAAGAGTAGAAACAATAATAACAATAAAGAGTAGAAACAATAATAACAATAAAGAGTAGTCAATGATTTCTCATAAATTTCTCTATTACCAAATACAATATTTCCCATACATATTTCCTGACCTTTAGTTGCTAAAGACTACTTAGATTCTTTACCGAGTATAAAGTTAGCACAAGTTTACTTGACTATTGCATAAGGAATGAAATTAATTTGATAAATTGCATGACTTCACTATCATGTTGGAGAATGTAATTAGAAAGTTCTTGAAAAATACATTGTGGTGTACAAAAACGAGGAACTTTCTACTTCAACAATATGTCGTTCATATGAACTAAGTGTACGATTAAATTTTCCTGGTTTGAGCAATAACTAATCTTAACTCAAAAATTAAAAGTGTTGTCTTGTCCTTTAATAATGATTTTTGACAACACCAACTCATAAAACCCAAGTAATACAAGCTTTTGGAAGTTTCACTTTTACAAACGTTATAAATTAATGCATACATTTAGAGCCCGTCTAGTAACACTAAAATTGGCTGAATTGACCGATTCTTCTGAAATTTATGAAGTTCTGACTGAAGTGGCTGTATTGGTTGATTCTGCTGATTCATGTAAAAATTATATTTAAAATATTTGTTATTAATAAATTAAATAAAAAATTATATGAAAAATAGCTAAAATTATCATCTACAGTAACTTCAGCCAATACAGCCAAAAAAGTAACTTCAACCTTACTTTTTCTGCTTATTACAAAATTCAGCGCGCGAAATCAAAAGTTACGCGTTTGGTGAAAAAACTGGCTGATAAGCCTGATAAGTGATAAGCCGAAAAAAGAGGTCATTAAACGGGCTCTGAGTAAAAGACAACAGATTATTGAGATAAACTTAGTTACATTCCACACTTCTCTTTGTAAAGCCAAAGTTATCCTAGTTCAATTTATAAAGGTTTCCATTAAACTATATAACTACTTTTCGATCCTACTTATTCCATGAAATTTTTTATCTTCCACTTTACATGATGTTCACATTTAATTAAATGACCACAGATTTGCAAATACTTCAACTACATTTACATATGAAGAACTAATCAGTTTAACATTTTCACTTTCAATAGGTACCTGCGACGAAGGCTTACAAGTACAGTATAAAGGTCAGTTTCTTTCCTTGTGTGCAGAAATACGACCCTTCATACACATTTAAATTTGATAAGTGAATATTGTTTGCAACATTGCTTCCTAATAATCCTTATTTTTGCAACCAGGACACATTATCCATACCATAAACCGTAAAGATAAACCACCAAATAACATATTATATTCACCAACCAACAATGGAAATTGGCGAGTGTTCAACAAATAACACTAACAAATAGGAACGCCGCCAAAACCGAAACTTTAGGCGTAGGCTACGTAATCTAAAAGCATTCGCTTGGTCTGTCAATTAGTTTTTTTTTATTTTTTAAAGTATGATTGTTTGGTTATCATTTATCAAATGAAAAATGTTTGAGGTACACAAAATGTGTACACAAAATGTGTACACAAAATGTGTACACATGTCTGCCCTTCACAAAAAAATTGTCTGACACAGACAACTCAAAATGTGTACTCAAATTGAGTTGTCTGTAACAGACAAAATTTCTATGAAAGACAGACATATGTACACATTTTGTGTACCCTATCAAAATTCAAAACTCTTATCAAATTTGGTTCCAAACTCCAGACAAAGCCGCCTATAAAGAAACTGTAGGTGAGTTCGCTCAGACATCTAGGCCGTCCAACTTCCGTAGGTAAAGAAATCGTGTGCGGATAGCAAGTTTAAAAAGCTCATTTACTACATTCTTTCGTGGGAAAAGGTGCAAATAGGCCCATGTACTAACAAAAAAGGGTCAAATAAGCCCTTATTTAGGAGGGTCTGTCCGGCCGTCGCCATTTGGGGTGGTTCCCGGTAGAATTTTTTGATGAAATTTTTTGAGCATCTTATTCATCAAATCTAGTTTACTCATACCAAATTTCAGCTAAAACTTCAATCGGGAAGGCATTCAAATGAATTCTTGAAGATAACTGCGCTTCTAACTGCACAGTTATTTTCAAGAATTCATTTGAATGCCTTGAAGTTTTAGCTGAAATTTGGTATGAGTAAACTTGACTTCATGAATAAGATGATCAAAAAAATTCATCAAAAAATTCCACCGGGAACCACTCCAAATGACGACGGCCGGACAGAACCTCCTAAATAAGGGCTTATTTGACCTTTTTTGGTTAGTACATGGGTCTATTTGCACCTTTTCCCTTCTTTCGTATGTACAAAACACGGAGTATGTTTTTAGTACGAAATCTCTCCCTTTCGTATTGAAAGTTAGAATTGCTCAGTTTTCTGGAATGGGATGTTCTCTGCCGATTAAAAACTGAAATAACAAATACGTATTAAAACAAAACACGTCCAGATTTGAAATAGTAGAGGGGAGGGGGTCTGTGTGTTCCCTAGCAGGAGAGAAATATTTTCATGATTTCTTCCATTTGCAATTATTAAAAATGCATTTTTAACATTTTACTAGTATAAATTAGTAAGATTAAACGCTGAAGTAAGATTTAATAACAAAAACAAAGGTGAATTCAAATCCAGATGTAGTTATTAATTATAGAGACTGTCAACTATTAAATGCATTATTTGTCTACTAATTCAAATAGAAAATGTAATACTACTAAGGTACTATAAAGAATTCCCCAAAATCATCTTTTTTTTTCAAAATCATCTATAAGAGCATCTCCAATGCTACAATGTGCACGGTGCACATGTGGCATGAAAGAGATAGACACAAAATATTGATTTTATGACATTTATCTCTTCTTCTTTCCACGGTCTTATGCATTTTTGGTAAGTTTTTGTCTATAATGTTAACCACAATATCTACATCTAGATATTGTGTTTGACAATGTGAAGAAAAACTTACCAAAATGATGTAGGACCCTTCAAACAAGGAGAGAGATATTTTGTTTATTGTTTTTTAATTGATTATTTCTCATGCCACGTATGCACCGTTAACGTTTTAGCATTGGAGATGCTCTAAAATATAACATAGGATGGTCAAAAAATTCAGAATCTTTTTACACATTACTTTTATTAAGAATAAAAGATGCACAGGCGCAAAAGGAAAGAAATTTGTAACAAAAAAAAAAGGAAAGGAGAGAATTCAAGAAATGAAATTGGGAAGAGACTTTGGGTTTTCTGTAAGAATTATGCTTGTGGTTTAATAATTACGTACGGAGTACAATTATGCTTGTCAGTATGATAGTAATCTTATTTTTTCATAACAGATGTCGTTATGACCATATCAGATGAACCCCAATACATGCCAATAGGGTGATGCAGTTAAGTTTTACAGCATAATTTTAAACCCATGAATAAAGAATAATCAACTACCGACTCCCCCAACCCCTTTGACAATTCGCAGATCACTTGGGGTCTGTAAAGTGACGCACTAAGAAAAGAAAACATGAATCTGTTAATTTATGCCTGTTAATTTAGGGTCCAATTTGTAGTCAACGGTTTGAATTTTTATTGAACCGGATTTTGCTTGATTTTTAGTCTAGGTTAGTTTCGATTAATTATTACTACCGCATGGGATCCACCGGTTCCTTGCTGTTCAGAAGCCAAGTTCGTTAGCCTTCAAATAATTATGGAGAGACAAATCGGCTTGATGAAGAAGGCACACCATGCTAGTACATGATGACAACGACGTTGATGAGCTTGCAGCAGGTTCTCTACCTGGGTGACACTTCAAGTTAATCAATGGTTCACAGGTCTAGGCAAACAGTTCAAGTTTTTTAAGTGTGCAGTTTACTCTTTGTTGGTGTCATATTTGTGTCATAGTGATTGTATTCTTATTGTAGAGTGCAATTTTGTTGACCCCTCCTTGGAGGGTGAACAGCACCCTCATAGCTCAAATGTTGTCATTTGGCATTTTATTTCTCTTTTGCCACATGGCAAGCAAATAGGGAGGGGGGTTATGTAGGCTCATAAAAGGAAGAGAAGCACATCGAGGTGAAAATGAGAACCTGGAGATCAATTAGGAAACCATGTGTTAAGATGCATAAAAAGAATGAGATGTGATAAGAGCATCTCCAATGGTAAAATGTGCACGGTGCACACGTGGCATGAGAAATGACCATATAAATATTAGTAAATGAATTCTTTCTCTCCTTATTTGAATGACTTTATACAGTTTTGGTAAGTTTTTCTCCACAATGTCAAGGAGACCGTCTAGATGTTGACATTGTTGTTGACATTGCAGGGAAAAACTTACCAAAATTGTATAAAATCATTCAAATAAGGAGAGAGATAATTTATATGCTAATAT